AACCTGACGTCTCCATATATGTCAAAATTGCTTTTTTTTTTTTTCTCTCGAAGAATAATCGAGATAAATAAGCTGATAAATTTGTTCCAATCTGATACAACCTTAAAGACACCAAGCAATGAGGCAGGTAGGGGCGGCAGAGAGCTGGGAGAGGGACAGGCAAGGAGGGTTATGGTGCTGGCATCTGGAAAAGGAGGGGCTGTGTTCCAGGATTCATATATCTGCAAGCTTAGAGGCTCATGAGATCTGGATATCAGAAAGCTGATCAGTTCTGGGCCATCCCTCAGATTAACAGAGAAAAAGGAAGCAAAGCATAGCAGGGAAGGTTTTGCAATATAAAAAATAAAGAAGCACTGTGTGAGTTTTATATCTAGCCACCACTAAACCAAAGTCTCATCCATTCAAAATGAAAATTACACCCGTGGCCACATACCGGCTGATGTGAATAAATCTTCCTATTCTACCCAATTCTACAAGGTCACATACCATGCCCCTGTGAACTACACTCCTTCATGGTCTAGCTGCACCTGAAGCCAGCAGTTACACAACACACTTAGTCCTTGCAGTCCTGCTAAAAGAAGGAATAATTCATGCCAGGGGAATGTGTGTTCACTGAGCAGCTCCATTTCCCTGTGCACGTGTGTGTAAATCACAACCGTGTCCCTCGCGACCAGGCTCCACTGACGCTTCTCTGACAACACGAGGGACAACCTGCAGCTGGCAGCCTCCAAAAGCAGCAAACACTGCTGGACTCAGGCTTCAGAGGTGTCTCAGCTAAGGGTTTCCAGGCAAGAACATCCTTTTCTAAACCAGGAATCAGCCCCTTTATAATAACAGTCATCTGGCAAGGCAAGAAAATGTAGGGCTCCAATGCAAAATACATGCTGCAAACTACTTTCTGGCTGCTACCTGGAATGTTTCCTCATACATGCTGTCATTTTATTTTAAAAATACATGGTTAAGTGATCATCTAGAAATTTGTCTAGCTTTCATTTAGTTTTTTTGCAGTCTTCCTTTGCACAAAAGATTTTACATACTTGTGCAATAAACAAAAATATTCTATTTGTTTAAAACACTGTGAAATACTCACATATACATACATCACATACTCACCTTCAGTCTATTTTTGAAACTGTTCCAATGAATAACAGGGATAAAATCTGAAAGACCTTCAAACCCAGACATTAAGAAACATGTTTATCATGACAAATCTTTACTGCAAAATTAAAGTTTTATTGTGTGAAACGATTGCTTTTACATTAGTACTTCATTATTTCAGATAGGAATGGTTATATTCTTGCCATTTGCTACCATGTCATCGTTTCCTTGTCTGCAAGATTATGGTAGATTTCATCATTCCACTCATGAAATAAACACAAATAAAAAGAAGTTCCCACACTATGACTTTTCCTCATAAATCTGAAAAAGACAGTTATAGAAGGCAAAGTTACAGCAGTCAAACTCCTCTTATAAAACTCATGTCACACTTAGTAAGCCTCAATTTGAACTGGAATTTAAAACCTATGGATTTTTGGTGACAAAGTGAAAAGTAAAGTGATATATGATTAAAACTTCCTTTTTTCAGGTTTGTTGGATTGAGAATTTCACTCTACAATATATCCACAATTCACTGGAGTGCACACACACATTCTTCACATTCTACCTGTCTTTGTGCATTATTTCTGTAATCTCTTGTAGAAGATCAACAGCTGTTTGCCCTCTCCACCGAAGCGCTACTGTGTGATCAAGCCTTTTTCTCAATTTTCTTTTTTCTTTTTTTTTTTTTTTTAAACCCCTTATCCCTCCTCACATTTTTAGCACCTACTTGTGGAATTTCATCAACTACCTGCAAGATTCATGCAGCCTCACTGACCTGGTTTTATTATTGTGTTTAATTACTAAAACAAACAAAAAAAGTCATTAGAGATTTGCAGCTGACCCTGGAAGTGCCCTAAAAAGTTTCGCCCTCAGAAATTCATTCTTTGATGAGAAAAAATAAACTGTAACTAGTTTTAATGCAATAATAACATTTCCTTAGAGTCATGCAGTTTTTCTAACTAAAAGATGGGACACTGATGTAAAGAGCATCAGCATGAAGACTTCCAGGGGCTGCAAGGAGCCTCCTGTGAGGCCCAGGACAGCCAGATACTGAAGTCCCAGCTTATATCTGGTAGGGCATCTGAAGGAAGAGACCCCAAACTTTTGCCCTACATGGCAAAATGAAGAACACAATGTAATGGGCTTACTGTCTAAACAGCATCATTATTAATAATTTTATCTGAGGCCTCTTCTTGGAATGAAGAAAGAAGGACATGAAAAAGGCCACAGGTTTTAAGGAAATAAAAGATTCAGTAAAAGGAGTTTAAAAGAAAAAAAAAAAAAAAAAGAAAAAAAGCTCTGGGCTGTAGTTTGGGATGGCTGCAGCAAGAGGGTGAGGTAGGTGCCTCCACTATGGCAGAGGGAGATGATGAGTGGCTGTTCAGTCCAGCAATGGCAAGCCATGTGCTTAATAGAACTAAAATACATACAGTCTATGCCAAAATTAAATCAAATATTCTCTGGAATCTACTGCCTCCTGCACTCACGTGAATCAGACAATTTAAACAGGGTTATTAGAATGCACAGGATAAATACATGTTAGCGAGTTAATCAATGCACATCCATATAGTATATAAACCAACAATAATCAAATGTAACACCTCATATTGGTGCTGTCAGGGCCAATGAAAATGATAAAGTGCTTTCCATGGCTGTAAGAGTACAGGTGTATTATGTGGTCACATGGCTTATCAACAAATGGCACTAATTAGAATCTATTTCTGAATGCTACATCCCATCTCAAAGTAAAAAAGAAGAAGCAGTAGAAAAGGTTCAGGCAAGTGCAGTGGCTGGTGATGGGCATGGAAAGCCTGCTGCCTAAGGAGAGATCAAATGGACTAGGATGTTCAGCTTGGACAAAAGGCAGCTGAGGAGAATGAGGGATAAAACCATGATGTTAACACCTCCAAGGATAAATGAAATTCTGAGGGGTGTAGAAAAAACAATGTGCCATCATACCTCAGAACTGCTTTCCTTATTGGAATAAGTAGGGCAAATGTAACAAGTATCTCAGGGGTTTTTAAGACAAGCAGACCTTTTCCACCAAGTGTAGAATTAAATTGTGGGACTCTATGCTGTGGGAATTTATTGGTACCAAGACTGTAAGTGGGTTAAACACATTTAAACATTTACAACATTTAAAGGAACCCAAAGAAGTCTATAGGAAAGGATCAAACCCACAGACAGAACCTCCATCTCAAGATGTGGATTGTCATATATTAGGAGGTATATGAAGAGCTCTACATCCATGTGGGCTGTTCATATAGCTTTTTTATGTGCATCCACTACAGCTCTAGGTTAGAGAGACTCAACAGACCTCCCACCTGGCCCAGGGTCAACATAAAGCATAGCATCATGTTTTTAAAGTACCTTTTGATTGCAAAATCACATAAAATCTAGCTGCCCACCTAGGATTTCCTTAGTCACACTGCTCCTTCTTGTCCTTTGAGTGAGGCAGAGGATTATCTAATATGTTGTAATTAAATCAGAAATGCAGTTACTGTTGTCAAGACATGAGTCATTTTTCATGCACAGATCTGATTCCAGTGACACAGTTGCAAAGGCATCTTTTCAAACTCTATAACGCTGGAATAATTTTTTCTTCTGAGCTAAGCTGTCAGCAAAAACTGCTTAGCAGTGAGTGGCAATCAATCCAGCCTTGTCTCTCAACAAGTTAAAGAGTTTTGACATAGTGTGGTTCTCATCTAGAGGTTTGCTTATGAAAAGAAAATTCAAATGCTTTTTGAAAGTGTACTTTTAATAAAATCATCCACTTTTAGAAAGAAAAGCTCTATCCAAAGAAGTAGCATGTTTGCCTCAGCACCTCTTGAAATTTCAGTAATATTGCCGTGCATGCACTTGGGAAGATGCACTTCTTCAGTTTCACTTGACATTCTTGACATTTTTCACTCCCTAATCCAGAAAGAAGTGCCAGCCGGGACTTGCCAGGAAATACACCCGCTGGTACACGGTACACCATCTCAGTGAAGTATTAGCTGTTCAGATCCTGGTTGCTTATCTCTTTTGTTACTTGAACAACAAGGATTATGAATTATTCAGCTACAGTATGAAATTATACATTTCCCAGATTTCATAAAAGTTAAAATAGTGGGCACAGAAGAAAGGGACTACATTATGCAGAAGAAAAAAAAAAATGGGATCAGTATGAGGCAAGTATTTCCTAACAAAGAAGCCTATTAAATGGCTGAAAAATCCCTTGTGGGAAGAGGTGGAGGCCTCATCACTTCAGATATTTAAAACCAGACTAGACAAAGCATTCATCTCTACAGGGGCAGAGGAAATTGATAAAATTACTTATTAGACTTCTTCCTATCCATCTCTGATTTCTACAATTTAATATATTTTTTAAAATAAAAACCACATTTGTATAGCAAAAGGCAGAAAAACAAAAAAACATTTTCTATTTGTAGTGTTGCCCAGCACAATGAAATTTGATTTAAAATTAAATTTATGCTAGCAATTCAGACTGCAAGATGACTTCTCTTTGTTTAAGGTCTAACACTGAAAGCTTTGCTACTGTCACATGTATCTCTAAAAAGATGATTTACCGTCCCCAGACTGGGGATTTATACTTTGTGCCAGAATTCTTTGTGAACTATGATGGTTCAAATTTGACAGAGGTGGATAATGCAAAAGGAAGAATGGTGCTTTACAGAAAAGTAAACAGGGTCTGTGCCCAAGGTCTGGCAGACTTATCAACTCCTTTGGGAGTCCCCAGTGCTAAATATTTACTGATGTCACTCAAAGGATAACATCTAGTCTGCTAGTATGAAAGTAAAAAGACTCTCAGTCTCTTTCTATCACTTTGAATATCTTAAAATTGTTTCCAAATTCTGTTCTTCTTCCCTGCATTTTTTCTTTTCTTCTCTCTTTTTTTCTTTTTCTTTTTTTTTTTTTAAATCTTTGAAGGCACTACTCTGTTTAAAATGAAGTGCACTGTCTTGCTTTGCAGAAATAAATATGAAGGCATGGAAAAAACCCAACCCTGAGAAACCTTAGGATAGTCAAAATGTTTAAGAGAGTAACACTGTGGATCTTTCACTCTACCCATAATCGATGGAGGAAGAGGAAATAATGTAAAGATGTAGATCTTAAATCTAAATCTAAATCTAAAATAAAGATGTAGAACTCCTGTACAAGAAATCAAGATTCAATTGAAGCTGAAGTGAATCTGAGCTGTCCCAGAGGTAATGCAGGGGTGGGTGTTGAGCCATGGTGGCCCTCAGGCTTGGGACAGCCTCTCAATGATTTTGAACCAGCCAAGACAAGGAAGGATATAGCCACATATTTTTCTTGCTTTGACATCAAACCTGTTTTAACAACATGCTGCTGCTTACCCGCTGCACACTGTTCACTCTCACATCCTGGCTGCAATTTGCCATATTTTCAGTATTAGCCTTGCTGCGCTGGACTGGGCTGCAAACTCAGTGTAGTAGAAAAGATTGCTTCATTTCAAATTGCTGTTTATCCACAGTCTCACGTAGACTGGTTTCATGAGATGGGGCAGAAAAGTAAGAGGAATGGTGAGTTTAATCTACCAGTAGAACTTGTTAAAATTAAGAAAAACAATAGCCCTGTACCCAGCAACAAGGAACTCCCCCAAAAACAACATCCACCTTCCTGTGAACGTCTTCAGTTCCTCTTCCTCAGGTTGAAGTGTAGCCACCTAGGTGGAAAGCTGTGTTTTCCTGTTCTGTTCTTGTCTATCTGGCTGTGTACTGCTGGACTCCACAGAGAATTCTCTGAGTTGGAAGGGACCCACGAGGATCATAGGGTCCAACTTTTAAGTGGATGGTCCATACAGGGATTGAAGCCATGACCTAGGTGTCATCAGCATCATGCGCTGACCAACTTATCTGTATCCTCAGGTAATCAAGTCTGTTTGGAAGAGTCTATTTTTGGGTACATGGTAAAATACTGGCAACCCTGAAGTTTGCCAATAATGTTATCAGGACAAGGGTTTGCCCATTTTAACTGTTTTATATCAGCATATACACTATTGTGGGCCTGTAATCAATATAGCAGGACCTACCAAAGCTCACAATGAAGTTGTCAAAGCCATCAGCCCTTACTTTGGCCACTCCTGTAGCTTTAAATAGTTAACATAACAGTGGGATTATGCCCAGATCTAAGGACCTGATAAATTAGAATGAAGTTCAATACTTTGCCATTTGGAAAGTAAATGTACTCTAATAACAGTAGTGAATTAATTTAATTACCAAATTAATTTTAAATCCCAGAAGGGCCAGTATGAAAAACATCCAACTGTTTGCAGCAGCTCTACCCCAAAATATTTATTCAAAACACAGCACCTTTGTCCCAGGCATAGACAAAACCCCCTCTCTGCTTTGCTCAGCTTCTCTGTCAGCCTCATGTCCTATGTAAGAACCCACAGACTCTGTTAATTGCCCTTTGGGCTCTGGGCTCAAGCCACACCTGCAGAGCTTCATCCCTCACCCAGTCCTGCTCACAGGGTGGTCCAGATCAGCACATCCTTCCTAAGCTGTGCCCAGCAGCTGCTCCTGCATCATCCTGCCCCAGCCCTCAGGGGCTGATATCATGCTGTAAATGAGCAGCTGGTAAGGATACAGTCTGCATCCATAGGATAAGCAGGAATTAAAAACAAAACAAAACAAAAATCTCATTTGGACTAAATTAATCCTGTAGTAATGAATTTCTAGCACTTAGTACTTTGGCTGAGTCATGTCTGTGCATAGCAGGAATAAATCCCATCGAAAGAGAATTGCCTTGGTGTGCAGGCAGTATTTTACAACCCCAGGAGCCATTACTTTCCAAGGAGAGAAAAACAGTCAGAGAAAAGGAAGGAAAAGCAAGCAGAGGAGTATGCAAGTCTTGATTTTAGCCCCATTTACATCGATTTTAGCACAGTTATTCCACTGCAGAGGACACAAGAGTTTTCAGTTCAAAGTCTAAAGGATGGTAGAGAATAAAAGTAAGGAAAGCATAATATCTGAAGTTCTTCTAGTCTCAGTCACACAGCAAAAATTCTTTTCCACAAATAATTGAGATTTATCTCCCAGCAATTCTCAGTGGCCATATTGTAAGTCATATAGGTAATTTATGACCCCAAAGCTGCAATAGCATGCTCTGGCTGAGTGGCAGCATAGCTGTACAATCAATAATGCTTTTGCACACTTGCATCTTTGAGTGGGTTTATATTGCAGCACAGCCTGAAACAGCAGCATAAATTTAATGGGCTGGCAGTCTGAAAAGTATAGAAGTATAACAGGTGTATTAATTTGTGTTGTGATGTGTAACTGATACCACTGTAATTTTGCTACAATTAGGCTCTGTTTTAAAACAGAGTATTTTAAAATACCTGGTGCTGGAGCTAAGATAATCAGCTGAAAATCAAAAGGAAAAGACAACAGGTAGCACTGTAGAGCATGTTGTGCAGAGGTAATTCATATATATCACACACTTGCAAAACCTATATCCTCTGTTAGCCCTTTATTAGAGACACTATATTCAGACAAATTGAACAAATCCTAAAACATATAAACCCCTAACACTACAAATACATCTTTCCAGAAGTTATGAAGTTCTATAAAACCACACAGGTTTCTGTTTTTCTTTCTTTTTGACATGATTGTTGTTGGGTATTTAAAATTTATAAGTTCATAGATGAGTCAAACCTTGACTGGAGATGATTCCTCTTCTAACTACATGTGCTTTACCACAAACATTAAAAACAATTACTTAGGAACAGTATTTGCTAGGATTTCTGAAATATTTTAGGTATAATTATTGTCATTACAGAAAAGTCTGAAACATTTCCTTTAATCATTCAATACATAGCTCCATAACTCCATACACTTGAAAACTATAATTTCTCTGTAAGTTTTCTTCTTACATATGTGTCTATATGTACATACACACACATATATACGCACTATTATAAAATGAGTGTCAAGAAAAGCAGGACCTTTACATTTCCACATTTTCTCTGTTTGCAATAGGAATAAAACTGCAGATACCACCTGTGCCATCTAGAAAAATCGAACCAGCTTAACTTCAAATCCTCTTGACAGGCTCTGCTTTTCCCACTGTCATTTTTTCATTCTTACCAAAGTCTGTTTGCTCTAAGAGTATATTGTTAGGCCATACATTCAATTTTCATGCAACAAACCCCTCTCCCTTTTACACTGCCCTGAAATGACTAAATCTTGTGCCAGACCCAAAAACCAGGCTTGCACTGCTCAACTCCACTTTGCTGTGCACAAGAAAACCAGTTTGCAGCTGTGGTGTTGCTAGACCTAGTTATACACATAAACATTAAATAGTACTTATTTTTGTGTTCTTCCAGTAGTTCAAAAAGTAGCCTAAACCATGCAACATACAAGCAAGCCTTACAGGGCCTGATTCCATGTGTGGAATGGTAAAGTATCAGTAATTTCTCTGAGCTCCACTAATGGAGACATGCTAATTGCCACATCGAGATTGCTGTCAACTCACAGTGGTGACAGGGGGAGTTCAGAGTAGTAAACATTTTGAAGGACTATGCCTTAAACAGAAACCTTCCCAAAGTCACAGTATCTCCTTACAATGCTCATTCTGTGAACTCAGAACAAAAACAAACAAACAAACAACCAAACAAAACCCCAAACCCAAAAAAACAACCAAACAAAACCCCAGTTAACCCCCAGATAGATTTTTTTTCTCAAATTTATATTAGTCATTGAAGATCTGTTTCCAAATGGTTGGGAAAACAAGTCTGTCTTGAGATCTAAAGTCACATAAACCAAATTCTCCAGCACAGCTACAGCAGAGTACATGTGCCTGAGGTTGGTCATCCATTAAGAAAGGACTGGTGGCTTGGGAATGTCACTAGTGGTGGTGGAAATGCTGGAGGGGAAGGTAAACATAACAGAGCATAGCTAGAGAAATCTGCAGAGCCCTGAACCCTCAAAGGGAAGCCTAAGGTTTGTACACTGAAGTAAGTGCACCTGGAGAACAGCAAACATGTGTCTGGGTCCCCAGAAGTACTCATTAGCAGGAATATTTCACAGTGAGCTGCAACTGTATGACAACAAAAAATGGGATTCTCTTTGGGGAAAGCGTTCTGGAGAAAAGTTTTTAACATTCAAAAAAAGTTGGCTTCCCACAAATATTTTTGCTATAACAAGAACAAAAAAAAAAAAGGTAGTTTTTTTTATTCTTCTTACAGTATTAAATAATAAAGGGATTTAATTTGCTATAAATTATGATGGATTATAAATAACAGATATTTCAGAGCATGAGAAGCTTTGACTGAAGAGATGCAGTACTTGTATCTGGAAGGTGTCTGCTACAGTAATTTCTTCCTGGGTGAATCCTACAGCCTGAACTGACTTGATCAAGCCAATACAAAGAAAAAGTCCTACTCATTTGAAAGTGGCAGCAGCAGAAGCAGCAGGCACCAAGTTTGGCAATATTGCTTTATCCCTTTCTAAAATTCAGCCCTTCAAAATCAACATGTAGTTTTTATTTCCAATTCTTAGCTCAAGAAAAGCTCGGGGGGGAGGGGGGTCAAATTCAGTTGGAAAAAAAGGGACCATGTAACTGGGGCCATTGCTTCCATTTAGTGGGATGGACAGTAAGAATAAATAAGAATACAAAGAATACAAAACCAGGATAAGTCAACTATGCTACACATCTGGTAATACACCTTATTTTACTGTATTTGTTATCAAGATGACATGCAGTCTAGAACTTCATGGCAAACACACTGGCAAAAGCCATAAATCATGAGAATAACAAGGCTCGAAGGAACAAGGCTTACAAAGACAACCCCAAGGGTGACTTTCTTGGATACCAGTAAATAAATCCCTAAAGGCAAGGAGCTAAAGTACAACAACCCTAGCAACCACACTAGCACCCGAATCGAGGTCTGGAAGAGCAAAGATGTGCAGTTCCACACTGTCCAATTGTGGGACACAGTTGCAACAGAGTCAAAACTTGTAGGCCTGTAAAATTCCACCACGGGGGTTGAGTTCAGAGTCTGGGGACTTTCTCTTTGTACTTCCATGATTGTTATAACCAGGCAATTAGAAGAGGTGTGAGAAGGGCTAACGAGAGATGCCAGCCTTTTGGGAGTCAGCAACAGTTCTGTTGGGTTGTCTGGTAGGCACTTCTTTCCCTTTCCCCCACAAGCTAAATTCAGAAGGATGTTGTTGTCATCAGGAAGACTACTGACCTCATCGTCTGGCAGGCATGTTTCAAACCTGCAAAACGGGCACACTATGACTCCTTGTGGGGAATCACCAAAGTCTATGATCTTGCAAAGGCATTTGGCACACACTCTGTGACAACACTCCAGCACTTTTGGTTTTCTCTGTCGCAGGTTATAGCGGTTGTAGCAGATCTTGCACTCAAGCTCATCTGAGCTCTGGGTCTCCACAGACTCCTCTGGTAGTTGAGTGGTCATTTCTTCAGGTGGTTTTTAGACTTGTGGAAAGAGAAGTCAAGGGATGAAGAGGTCACAGTCTAATTTTAGAACATTTTCCTATCACCCATCTCAAACAGAAAAAGAGGAGATGACTTCATCGAAAGGCATCAGTAGACATCATCCATTCTCAGCTTCTGCTAGGGATTGTGCAGTGCATGTCCTTTACTCTGAGCCAGGCATCCATCTGAAAAAGCCAAAGTACAATTTCTGTTGAAAGCAAAGGCAAAAGCAGGAAAGGAAAGGGGAAGGGGAAAAGAAAAGGGAAAGAGGAAAATAAGAGGGAAAGCTTTAGCAAATGAAATATGCCAGTTCTGCTTTTTATAAGCTCAGCTTCCTTTGCTAAAACTACCTCTATAAGGTTGTTTTTTTCTGTGGCATTCGAGGCCTATATAACAGTCATGCTGATGAAACTTAGCATCATGCTGCACAGATTTATTTTAGAGTTGAAGCTCTGAGTGGCTCAGCCCATGAAGTTCTCAGCAGAAGCTGCAATCTAATCACTGATCTGTGACCATTTATTTAAACTCTGGTTTCTCAAGGAAATGAGACTTGACACCTGGAGCTTTTGGTCTTCCCTGGTAACTTGTGAACCTGCTGTCCAATTTCAAACAGATCAGCAGAGGGGCCGCAGTCCCGAAGATAATTAAGTTGCTAAAAAGAAATGAACACTGGCAGTTGGGTAGAAGAGCGATATTTATAATAAGTACCATTTATCCTGGAGGGCAGTGGGTGGTCAGCACACCCCAACCTCTGCTCTGAATGGGCAGCATGCTGCCTGTAGGTCAGCCAGAGAGGAGGGCAACCCAGGGCAAGCTGGTGATACTCTGGGGAAATAAAAAGTTTGGGGGAGTGGAATGGGTATGAAAGAGGTCCAGAGTTATTGCAAAGAATTATGTGGGGACCTAGGTCAAATCTGGATTAGGCGTTGTTAATTTTTCTGTTTGTGGAGCAGCCCATTTCTTTTTCTCCACCCAGCTGCTGGACATATGAGTACAAAAAGAAATATTCTTTAGCTTGCAAGAAATGTCTCCTTCAATATGTGGCTGCGGTTTTGCCGCCAGACACATCTGCCTCACTTAAAGAGATGTCTTGTCATATTTTGTAACATGACTTCAGGAAACAGTGCGTTTATTATAAACAAAGCATTAACCAGGAGGATGTGCTCTGGGGATCAATAATCACCAGCATTTAAAAAACCAGCTCTTATCTGCCAGAAGATGAAAACTTCTCCCATATTCAGGCACATGCTCACAGAAATGAGGGCAGAACTGCATTTTGCAGGTTTTCAAACTCATCACTTCATTTCTAGAGTAGCAAGGAATTGGCCACAGTCAAATGATGGGCAAAGTCAGCACTCGTGTCCAGATGCCTCTTGCATTATCAGCATCAGGCACAATGAATATGAAAAAGTGGCCTATTTCAATAAACTTATTTCTTGACTATTTGTTTTAGTAAATATGTGATTTCTTTCCCTTTCCACTGGGGAGTTATTACTCACTTCTAGCATTCAGATTTTTGTTCTTTTTTTTTTTTTTTTTTTTGAGGTCAAGGCAGGAAGCAACTCTTTTAAGCAATGTGCTTCTTCTGTCAATACATTTTACTTGCCGACCATCAGTGAAGTCTCTTTCATGGGCCTCTTGTTCTTACTGTCCTTTAAATATTTTCCATTGCTGCATATCCAGCAGAAGATATGAGAGACATGGATATATAACTTCTATAAGCAACATAATTTGTAAAACTCACTTCCAGGAACAAAGATGTAAACATCAGACAATGTGGTAATGAAAAAATCATGACAATATAGTAAAAAAACCACACACATTTCTCTAAGAATTGTTACAGACATGGCCCCCTTCCCGTTCAATTGCTTCAATAACTCCTTGCCTGCCTCTTCCAATTTGTCTTTAGTGCTCTAAATGTTTTCATCTCTGCCTTACTGTTGTTTTTTATTATTTGTACTGTGGATAAATTTGCATCAGGCAAAGCAAACATAACACCATCCACAATTTTCAAGGTGTACAAGCTAGACATATTCTCAGACTCAAAAAGGACATCTTTTACAGAACTTACAATTTATCCTTTATCTTTCGTTACACTGTGTGCTTCCTTATTAATTTCTACTACTCTTTTTACTTCATTCCAAGTATCATCTTCTAGATGACTTTTAGGTAGATATAAATGTCACGAGATGCTAACTTTCCAAAGGATGAACAAATCACAAAAAAGTGAAATGTCAGCCTACAGGGAGGAAAAGAACTGCTGTATAATTAAGAAGCCAAACAAAAAAAGTGATGGCTTTGGACTTTCACTTCTTGGGTATCATTTACCTTCTGTATCTGAGGTGAATTGGGATTACTAACAAGGTACTGTTAGTAATCTGCTGGCAAACTTTGTCCTACAACATAAAACTAGATTCCTGATTAACCAAAAACCTTCTAAAATATGTGTCTGCTTCTCATGGAAAATTATGACCTTTCTCTGAAAATTTCCTTGAAAAACCTTGATATTTTAGTGTTTATCCTTGTAATTAATATTTCCAGGCTTTTTACAGAACCCAACCCACTTTCCAACCAATTCTATTCAGACATGGACCACCTCTATTTGAAGCAGTTTTCAAATTGATTGTGTTTTCCTGATTTTACCACCTTTAAGTGCCACAATTTGACATTAATACAAGGAATAAGAAGTCTCTGGGACTAGTAATGTCCCAGTTGCTAAACTGGGATAATTAGCTCAATTTCCAGATCACAGTGAACCTCCTATTGTAGTTGGTGTCATAAGCTACTGTACAATTTTTTTTATTCTGTTTTTTAAATCTAATGTACTATACAAGAAAGTGTGACTTTCATCACCTTTCTCACTTCACAGAGTGTCTAAAAAAAATATCCCTCTGATAAAAGATTATTGATTGTTTTTTCTTCAGCTAACTTTAGATGCTTGGCTTCTCCTTGCATGTTTTAGTGTGATACTGCTTATTACTATCTGTTATTTATACATCTTTTCCTTTGAAAATTAAAATTTAATCACTAGCTCCTCTTAATGCTTTTCATGCATTTTTTACCCTCTCAGCTCTATGGTTGTTTCAGATGCTTCCTCTCTCTTTTTTGCTTTCCTGATTTCTTATGGAAATTTTTCCTTCTCAATATCCACTTTCCTGCTCTTCTTTTTTTCTCTCCTGGGAACTGCCAGGAGTTTCTCTTTTTGGGTTTAATTAATGCTGCCCTGCTATTATATACATCACATACACTAAAAAGTTCTCTGATCAGAGACTTATTAAAAATATATGGAAACTGAAGCTTTTAAAGAAATTTGGCTTCAAATTATTCCTATTTCTTGAGAAGACGAAGCATGTCTTGGGAAATATGGCCAGCTACTCCTTCAAGCAAATTCTGCTTTATATCAAAGATTTTCTAGCTGGTCTTTTGCATGCTTCCCAGGTGAGAATTTACTGGCAGAAGGCAGGATATGGAATTAAAGAAAGGAAGAGGTTAACTACTGCCCCTGTGAATCCTGTTCCCTCACCAAAAATGTCACAATTTACATACTTCTACTTGTTGAGGATTAAAAAAAAAAAAAAAAAAGAAAAAGATCATGTCTATGTGTTCATGTTTTATCCTCCTCTTTGAGACACTTTTTTATGATGCCACAAGAAGGTATGTCCCTGTTATGTGCTCCATTAATATTTGGGCTATTTTAAATATTGAGCTACAACCTGCATGTTCTTTCTGACCTTGAAATCCAGGGGCAGTCATGATGAATCTAACCTCTTTCACATCAAGTACGAAAATTCTAAAGCACTGTGTTTATTTTTATTAATTCTGGTATTTGTCATGATTTTAAGCTGCTTCTTACATCCAGTTTTTCACCTGAACTTAGACTTGTCTCACCTGCTTTTTTGATACCAAGAGACACAAGTTATAAATAGGGAAATTTCAATTACAGATTAGAAAAAAAGTACACAAGATATTTAAACACTGAACACATGTTAAGACTGATGTAAATGAAATCTGCAACCTTACAGACATCCTTGTCTGGATACGACTGTGGTCAGGCCACTCTGCCTTGGAACTGAGCCCTGCTTTGAGCAAAGGGAACTGGATTTTCCTGGAGATTCTTTCTAAAAGAAATTATTCTATGATTCAATGTTTTGCTATCCTGAACTCACTCTATGTGATGTGTTTGAAAAGCTTTATCTCTTCCTGAATAAAGAATCAGGTTGACAATTGTTTACATAGATAAACAGCTCTCCTATATAATAATTCTTTCATTTAACATATGAATTCATTTTTACAAAACCTAGAGTCCTTCTGCTATCCAGTCTTCCACAGAATCTATCTGATGGGATCAACACAATGCAATTGCAGAACATTTCATTCCTGTGAGTATTATGTAGCACACAGCAGCTTTCTGAACAAAATATAAACTAATAGACATGTCCAATGATGACAGTATCCACTGCAATTTATTCAAGAACAAGCACATCCTATGACAAGCAAGAGTCCTGACTAAGCACCACAAGAGTGAATCCATCATTCCTGCTGCTGCTTGAGCTCTGACTCCCTCTCTTTCCATCGCAGTGCCACCCATCCTGTACCTTATGAACTCCTCTACTTGAAATTTTTACTAAAAAGGGAGAAAAGCTGAAGACAGAGAGGCATCTTCTGGATGGCAGAAGTCCCAAGCAGTCCCTGCAGTGCTCCATGTGCCTGCTGGGGCGCAGTCCCAGAATCAGGGGGAATTACTTCCATTGAGGGTGAGAGGAGGTGACCCACAGAACCAGACTGAATCAATAACAGCAAGCCCTTATGCATGACCCCACACATGGCCAGACAGAGTGCTGTGGATCATCAGCCCAAACCAGCCACTGGACTTTGACTGACTTTGTCCTAATCACTGCTCTGGAGCTGCAAACTTTCTTCCCGGGCATGGAAAGAAAGGTGAATGGGCTGTGCAACATGTTATGGCCCTTCTTTGCACTCATCTATCAAACACTGCATAGACAAAGTGCTCTTACGAGAGGCCAGAAGCAATTACTTGTAGATGAAACTCTCAGTATTGGAGCTCAGTCATGCTGACAGGGCAAATTAGATTGGAAACTTGTGCCTCTCCTCCCTAATGGAAGATCATCTTTGCCCAGTTCATCAAACCAATCTTTTATCATTCATCTCTCACACTCTTTTTTTTTTTTTTTTTCTGTGAAGGGAATTTGCCAATATTTCACATATGACCTAAAACAAATATATGAGCTCAGTAACTTCTGTAAGATATCATCCATGGACCTACTCAACATGTGACATTTTCAAAGGTTTAAAAAGTTTCCTTTAAATACAAGCTGAGCATATTTAGGAAAGAAGAGAAGGAAAAAAAAATATAAATAGATAAATAAATACAGCGAAACTTACTTTCCACAGAAAAGAACTTCTTGCAAAGGTTCACTTGCAGGGAACACAATAAATGCCTTTTCTTCTCCACATGGGCAAAATCTGGTAGAAAGGAGGGAGACAAAATTAGTAGAGCAGGAATACAGCTGGGAGACTTTTCAGTCTATTTTCTCTGAAAGAGAGGAAGGAGTCCAACTTCTCTAGTTTGGTTAGAAATAGCCATATGTTGAGATTTCTGTTTAGAGAAATATATTGGGTAAATCTCATTTACTAAAATTATTTCTGTAACATAATCCAGTTTTCTTTACAGATCTGTTGTTGATTTTAAGTCTCTTTCAATATTATGTGCTAAACACTCTGAAGTGCTATCTCTTCTAGCAACCACATATTCACAAATGTTAGCAATTCACTAAAAAAAACCCCCAACCTAAAGGCAGAGCATCCAAAGAGATAAACTCTGAAAGAAGAGTTTTAAAAACATATTGAAATACTTTCCTGTGATTTTCTGTGACAAATGTCACAGAAGCTCTTTGATCACTTCTACTTTTCCAAACATAGTTCAGTCTCTTCTCCAGCAAAGACCAGAAAGCAACCATCTCCTGTGGGCCACTGCATTCATGTTGGAGGAGCTTTGCTGCATTCTGACTCAGCAGGAAATGCCCATCACACTAGATTTTTCCAGCTTGTGGAAGCACAATGCAAAAAAAAAAACCACCAAAACCAAACACCCCAGACTGCTTTACTAATCTGACATTTGAATGGACAATGTTCAAAGTGCCAGCAGCTATCACATGTTCAACCTGTTTCATGCCACATTTCTGCTAACAGTGGATGGTTTTAACAATGGGCATTTCCCTGTCAACTCCAATCAATGCGAGACTTTGCACAGGAGTTACAGAATGTGATGTACTGATCCATGCTTGGCTTATGGTCAGCTGTGTAAACTGCTATGAAAAATGCCTCCATTCTTTTCACAAAAGCTTCGTTTTCAATGGCATAGGTAATGAGGTTATTCCTCCAACAAGTATGCGTGAAAGAGAAACCCCACAACATATAGAGCAAAAAATTGTGTATTATTTAGAGATTAAATAAAAAAGCATTCTTATCAGAAGTTATTGTTACAATATTTAGACTCTTTGCTCGATCTCTCTCAATCCTCTACAATGTTACAAAAATGCAAAACACAGAAAATTACAGTTTTTCATAGTTGAAGTGGAATTCATGGGTCTCTAATTATTTAGTATGAGAAGTCATGTAATATTAATGCACCATCTCATACTAAAAAAAAAAAAGTTCAAGTCTTTTTAAAAATTATTATTCCTCCTCCCCATCCTGTTAAGTAAGCAGGGAGATTTTAGTGTAACAGGGTTCACTTAATTCAGTGTTCAACACAGGCTCTTAGGGTACTTTTTACATCCTTTGCCTGTACATATTCAAAAATCATCAGACGCTTATTTCCTATTAACAATATAATTTGTAATACTTCTTTGTTATTCCAGTAACTCATATTATGTGTCAGGTAGTAGTGGAAAATGGTCTTAATACACAATAAAACCCTTATTGAAACCCTACTATTCTCAATTACTTACTTTCTAGCTACAGGCTGCTACAGTTTTGATATGAATCCTGCAACTGTGGTGTAGGAAAAAATGTTTTATTATTTAGGCTTGTAGGCAAAACCAAAACCTCTTCCAATATTTCTTAAGAAGAAATTTTCCCTCATATAGAATTCATGAGCTATTTATATAGTAATATGCCAAGTGACTACTCAATGTGACATACGGTTGTGGGTTGCTTTGTAGCTGTTTAAGAATAAAACTAATCAAGGACAAAGGTTCTGAGCTTTCATTAGCTGTCTTGATTTAAACTGGCTTAATTAGATTAAATGGATAAGTAAAAAGAGATGGCTTGAAATTTCTATCTAAAGTGGTAACATTTAATTTTGGAAATATGCTAGTTAAACAGAATTAATTCCTTTAAAATTATTTTTGGTTCTTTCACAACCTACTTACTTAGGCCATTTAGGCATTTTCTCCTGCACAGTTTTCTCCCTGCCAATGGCTTTTCCTTTATGACTCTGAAACTGGTAAGTGATCTGCTCCAGTTAATATATATTTCACAAAAGACCTTACTACTATTTCAGGGAAAGGTTAGACATTCTACTCTTTGGTAGTCAGGGTGGGTTTTGGTAGCTTTATCAAATAAGATAGAGTTGTGCTCTTTGCTTTAGCGCTTGTGCCCTTTAGGAGGTCTTCTGAGAGCTGAACAGACTGTAGGACATTGGTTCTAGAATATGACTTGAAAAGACACAAAATTATAAATAAATAAAAAGCTTCCCAGTATTTCTTAATATAGGCATAAATATTTAATCATATGGCCTACAGATATGTCTAGCATTTATCTTTATATTAGACACTATTAAAAGCCAATATGATTTTGTATTAGGTTTCAGAACACATGATGAGAGCATCACAGAATTTTAGATCCTTGCTTTGCTTGCTACTGTATGCTTGAATGTAAGTAATTAAAATAACTCCAGAAATACAAGAAAATAACTTCTGCTTTTTAAATACAAATTACTTCTAATATAAGGTATTGATATACTCAAAATGTAACATCCCTAGAATATAACAGAATTCTCTCTCTTCGGACATATTTTCTAGGTTATATAATTTGGGAGAGACCATATGAGACAAAATGACAGAAAATTTATCTTGATTGCATCATCAGTGAGAAATTCCACTCCACACAGGGGAATCATTTTATTGCATTATAGTAAGTTCCAATTAACCTTCAAAATAGGATTTAATAGAAAGTAAGTTTGGTATTAGCTTTGTCCTAATGGAGCTGAAAACAATCCCAGAACAGGCTAGAAAAGAAGCTGTACTTTTTGCTTTTTCTATTGTCATTAAGAAAAATCCACCTAATACAAGTATGTTTAACTTAGTACATTTTGTTTCAGACACTGAGGATATGACTATATATAAATATTTTACTATATTACCTAATTTATGGTGATAGTGCACACAGGAAATAAAAAGGGTGGACATTACACAAGGCAGTACTGCTACTACATTTTATGTATTCTTTACATAAATTTGGCAACTCTGCTTTAACTACTTTTGCTCAGTAGCTTTAACTACTGCTCAGAATTTGCATCTTATCCTGTGCAGAAAGAAAATGGTAAAAAACAACTGCAGTTACTTCAGTCACAAGAATATTTGAAAACTCTACACCAAAATAATCCAACTCCAATACAGATTTCCACTTACAAAGCACATTTTCAGACCTGGTCTTCTATCATATCCTTTTTGAAACACCAGCAGCTGAAGCTGCAAATAGTCCCAATAGTCTGAAAAGTGAGAGGGGTCTGAGGAAACAATACTCTAACCTGGATTCAGTAAAGTGTAATTTAAATATTTCATTTAGTTCTCCTAAAGCACACACCTAAAATTAGTTATCTCTGGGATAAAGATTATTCTTATTTTAGCAATACAGCAAAATTGGTATATAATCCCTCCTCAATTGACATCATTATATCTATTATTATTACATCATTATCAGCACTAGAATTTCAATTTAACCAAGAATTTTTTTAAAAAAAATCTTACTGATGTATTTAAAAAAAGCGCAAACACAACACACTCAGATGCTATAAAAAATACTATATTGGTAGACGTGCTTGACATGCAATAAATTTGTGTGTCTTCAACTGCATTCATGGGAAATGAACGCTCCTAGCAGACAAGTGTCAGTGAGGAGATGTTAACTTTGACAGCAACATGTACTGCCCTCTTACAGAAGGTTTGTAGAAAAATTCCATTTGGCCTGACTGATACACAATATGCAAACAACAGTAACTGCACGCACATCATTCTAGACACAGGTACGTGAAATAAAATTGCAGGCATTGAAAAAGCAGATGGAAGGAGTGAAATTAATTTGTGACATATGCAGAGCTTTTATTCTATTCCTTTAAGGAATACAGGAATCATGTGAAACAAGAGCAGCTTTAAATATTAGTCTGGAAGTATCTTTGAAGCTACTGGTGATGATCTGGGACTGTCAGAGCTCCATAAATTGCTAGACCACTAATGTCAGAATCACTGGAGTGTTCTGCTGGTGAGACCTGCTTAACTCAGATTAATGCTTGTAAAGCAATTAAACTTCAGGGGGACTGATATGAATTGCTCAGCTTTAACATGTTATTTAGCAGTGAAATGTGGTATTATTTTTACCCATTCTGAACTGTCAGAGAAAGAGTTGAAGTGCGGCTAGATGGAATATTTCAAGCAAAGGGCAGAACCTTTACGGGCTGAGACTCTATATACAGTCCCCTTTGGACTGGATAAGAAGAGTAGAAAGAGGCTGCAATTTATTCATAGGAGGTATCAGAATCCAGTTAAGAATGCAGAGTATCTCCCTCCCATGTGTTTCTGATAGAAATATACTGCCACACCAGGAGATAATCCAATCAGGTCTAAGTCGGATCAATATGAACCCGCAAAACATCGGAAAATCTGCACTTAGGAAATGTGTTTCAGCAAGAGCTGCATAATTCTATTCTGGGACAAGGGCAGCCTGGACTTGACAAATTTTCCATCATTCAAAAGAGTTATACTGCTCAAGTCTCACAAACTCAATGAAGGGTATGAAACTGCCTTTTCTTTGAGCAGAGCTACAGCATTTTGATGTCACTTGCAGCTACAATGGTTCAAAGATTAAATGAAATGAACATGTTTGAAGCCTGCCAGTCGAACATATTCAAAGTACAAAATGCATGAGAGGAAAGCATTGCTTCAGAAATATTGGAAGTAATAAAGGCAGATTCAGAAACACGGCTTGTATATTAAACTAATTAGAAAACAAACCACCCCAACCAACACACAAAACAGAGAGAAAGTACATAAAATGGAATTCTAAAGGTTTAAAAAGCAGCACAGTCCATAGAGAGCCATTACACTTCCCTTTTAACCTATAAATTTAGTTTAGTGTAAATTAATAACTGAGACCAGGTATTGGTATTTTCTTAACTGATTAAAATCAATGGGGATTTTAGTTTTAAGTATTTTGCAACATCTACTACAAGACTAGAAAAAAGA